ACGAAGAAGAGAAGAAGAAAACACACACACTACTAGTACTACTACTACTACTACTACTACTAACTTAACTTTAACTTTATTTACTTATTCTTCTCTCTCTCTCTCTCTCTCTCTCTCTCTCTCTCTCTCTCTTATATATATATATATATATATATATATATATATATATATATATTATATATATAAAACCATAACCCCAATTTCATACTGAAGAAATTTATTATTGATACAAAAATACAGTCATATTCAAATTTTCCCAGTGGTGCCAATAATGTCCTTCATAGCTGGATTTTTTAAAATTCAGGATTCTATCAAGGGTCACACGTTGCATTTGGCTGTCCTGTCTCTAGCTTGTTAGCTGTTTTGAGAACTCCTTTCTCTACTCTCCACCTCGAGGTGGTGCTGAATGGGTATGAATTGATTCTCCCTAGAGTCCCTAGGGCCATCTGTGCCCCATCCCGCTTGAGTCCCTCCTGATTGGACCCAGATGCAGCCTGTAAGTATAGACGAAATTCAGCCCAAGAGAAGGTCTTGGTCACAAGTGAGCACTTCCCCTTCCTTCTGCATCATGACTCAGAGACCAGATATACCATCATGGACCCAACCTCACCCAAACTCAGCCCAGTGAAGTCTAGGCACCATAATACCCCTCACCCAGGGACGGCTTCTACATTTGCTGATGGTTTCCAGCATACACGATGTCTTGTTAGAATCCAAGGAGCAAGGAAATGTGCTACTGAGGGAGAGAATCACTGATACCATCTACCTGACTCCTTGGTGAGGAGTTCACCTGAACCAGGCATCCAATTAACGTCTTTCAGGAATCAAGTATGTGAGTCTGTACTGAACTGGTCATGCCGTTGGAATTGGTGCTTGTGATCTTATCAGAGGGCTCACACTTGTGAGACCCCATCCATACCCTCCAAAAAATTGTTTGCAGGAGGTAGAGATTAGCTCATTGCTATAAAATGTACCAGAGGTAACATCTGATTCCAATACCTAAATCTGTCATCTCCCCCTAGTTCCCCAGCCCACCCAGAGCTCATCAGCAGATGCATAGCTGAGTGGTAAAGCCACTTCCTTCCTCCTGGCCCAGCCAGAAATTTCAAGCCCCATTTGAGATGTAGCAGTGGGAAAGCTCTGGCAGGTGCAGAGGACACTGTTCTAAGTGCCAGGGCTCTGTGTGAGCTCTTCTGTGAAAGAAGACCCTTCCATCCCACTGGGCAGGGAACTCTGCTGTGGTCCTGCCTGTGCTTTTGCATCCAGAGGAAATCGTAACCCTTTGCTGGAGACAGACTGTGGTACAGAACTTGCCAAAGCCAATTACAATGGAAGAGGATATGATCTTGGGGAATCTGTACCACCCCTCTCTGCCTTTCACGGCATTCCCCTCGGATTCAGAACAGCACCGTAAATTAGCTCTTATTTTAAAAAATTAAAAGATGCCTGGATCTATAGACTAAAGATTCACACCCATACAAAACCATTGATAAAGTTTTCAATTCCTATGAGAAGTACAAGCCTGGACTCACTAGTGCCTCCCCATAATCCAACTTGCTATAAATTTTACCTGAACAACAGGACAGCTATTTGCAGAATCTCTGGAGGAATGTATCCCAACCATAAATATTAATGAGAACGAACCTGGCAAGACCAGCTTAATAAAATAGCTAAGATGCATTTACACATCATTAGCATTATGAGCTCCCAAATCTTCATCACTGAAATAGCAGGACCATCTCAGAGGAGGATGGGTGGCACGCTGGCCAAAGCTCCAGTAGGTGCCTGCCTCTCAAAGTCCCTTTTACTAGCAACATTCTGTCTTTTGAGCTAGATCACCTCTTCAAAAGCAAACATCGCCATAGACTAAGACTTGGATTTATCCCCCTTTTGGGTCTTTAATAAATTATAATTATCCCCAACATATCTTTGACTTGAGGTAAATATCCATACTCCTCTGAATTTAGGAAATACATAATATATGCCATTGAATAGGAAACTATAATGTGTTTAGGTGAATTTACCATAGATATTCAATCAACCAATATTTTGTCTTATATCCCCTGTACTTGAAGATAAAAGTAGATGACGTCTGGGGCCGTAACAGAGCTTTCAGAGTCAGGGTAATATCTCCAATCAGGAGCCTTACAAAAGATATATTGGTAATTCAAATCCTGGGAACCACAGGGCTAGAGTACACTCCCTTAATATGAAATCATCTCTAATAATGGAAACTCAGGCATCCCCGGGGGAAGTCTGGAATATTTTTAGGATCTGAATATCTAAGGTTAGTAACACTTTTCTGTGTATTTCTTAGGCAAGTTTTGACACAGAGGGTTGGGTTGGCCATGTGCTCAGCCATTCCTTGAACAGAGAGGAAAGAAGTCTGAACCTTTTTGCTTCCTCCTGGTCCTTACCCTCTCTCCTGTCACCATATGTGACCTCAGGACTCCCTGGCTTGATGTCCTCCACCTTGACCATTCTTGCTCAATCATGCAGAAGCGATTTTTAAATTCTCTTTCTTTGGTCAACTTTACAACATGAAATGCAAATACAGTGCAGCTAAAAGATCATGAGATGTAAAGTCTGACTCATTTATTAGCAGCGTCCCCAGCTGCTCTGAGCCTCAGTTGACCCAGCTTACAAATATGAATAATGCCCACCCAAAGTGGCCTCGCCTTCTGAACTATATAGTACAGCACAAATGCCAATTATTATTATTAATAGTAGCAACAGCAGCAAAATAAACCAAGTTTACCAGAATACAAGTCATTTAACACACCTCAC